GAGCCTGGCCTCCTCCGGCTGAAGTCTCTGAACAGCTTCTACCAGGAAAGGGACCTCTCGGAAGGCTAAGAATCCTGCCGTGTACGGGGTGCTCACAGCCACCATCCGGCAATCCTCGTACAGCACCTGGGAGCAGCGGGACAGTGCAGAGACAATGACCTCCAGAGACAATGACTTTGCTGGTTAGTTCCTGATGGTTTCAGAGGCATCTCCTCTGGTTTATGTCCCTTAATCTCATCTTCTTAAAATACTCTGCTTCTGGATCTCTCCCACAAAGCCAAGGCCCTTGGGTTGTGTCATTCTGTCACTCCGAGAAGGGGGCGGATAATGGTCTGCTGACAGAAGAGGGCTGGACGTCACCTGCCATACACTGCTTGGGAGTGAAGTCCTTGAAACAAAATGAGGGCAGGTATTCAAGTAGACAGCGGGGGACCTCAAAGTTCACCCAGTCAGAGCATTATCAAAGGGCGTCTGTCTCTACGCAGGGATAGGCCAAAAGAAACCCTGTAAGACAGGGCAAAAAAAATGTTCGTGCAGGGCAAGTCAAGAACCAAGGCAGGATTTGAAATTCAGTTCACAAAAATCCCAGCAGCCAGTATCAAACTTTATTTCTCTGCTTGTTATAGGTTTGATAGTTAAAGGTAATTTCTATATCATTTTGAAAGCTGGGAAAGAGACAAAAATCTTTATTAATTCAAGTTAAATGACTGTGGGATGTGGAATTCATGGCAGTTTTGAAAAGGCTTTTGCGTTACATCCCATACTATTAGTTGATTCCCAGCAAGAACTCACAAACAAGACATCTGCTGTTTGAGTGCTACAAATGCTTTCATTTCCTCCCTTGATCGGCACTGAATAACAACGGTCCTTTTGTCTCCTTCTGGGTAGAGGCTGAGTGATTATTTCAATATACACCTAAACCAGTTACAGACTTCTGTGCCTGACCATAGACTACATCTCATCACGGTATTTTTTGATTTACCAGCTAACTTGAGCACATACTGAAGCTATCCCTCGACGCCTTTTAAGTTCCCAGTAATCCTACAAACCTCTCGCAATTAGGAGAAGTTTGCATCGCATCTTCCTAAACTTATGCGTAAATCCTTACACGCGTTTTTTTTCTCCGTTTATCTTTCTTGCAGAAGGTACGGTTGGAGGCTTTGTTGAACGTATATGCAATAACTTATTGATGTCCTGTGAAGCAGTAAATAATGGCCTTTGTGTGAGTTTTCTATAAAAAAACCCTCACGTTGTTGCACACCCGGACACAGCCCTAAGGAGCGAAGCTGTTCGCTTGCCGTTACCTCGAGAGCCGGGAAGCTGAGAACGACCAGGGAAGCGCAGGCGCTGGTGTCGTCTCCTTTGATATACGATAAATCCACACCTCCCACTCTCTCCAGTCCTGCAAAACTTGAATCTTTCTGCCACTCCTCGGTGTCCTCCTCAACCACACCGGCTTTTAACCGGGCCTGCTCTCTAGCCAAAGCGAAGCAGCCGCAGTGAAAAGGGAGCCCAGGGGAGCCCCTTCCCCTCGGCTCCAGGCCCCGCGGCCCCGCTCCGTCCCGCTCAGCACGAACCGCACCGCAGCGCGGCGGGGGCAGAGCACCGGGGGCTCTTCACACCTCCTGGGGAGGCGGGAACC